TCTTTCTCTTGTCTATCGAGGATATTTCCTTTTTCCCCTATTAGGTCTTCAAAGGATCAAAGTATTCTGGGTTTCAGATTTCCAACAGAAATAAGGCTAGCAAAGAGGATCCACGAAAATACAGATGTAACTCTGGTGAGATGAATTAACGACACTAAGCCCAGTTTCTAAGACTTCTTTTCCAGATTTTCATCCTGGAGGAATTTCCTCTTTTCCACCATAGCCCTCTAGCGGCCTTCCCAAAGATATCACATGGCCCACATTTGCCGCCCCAATTCACAAGACAACAACTTGGGTCTTACGAAGCTATATGAATTAAACCAAGATCCCATGTTCCCCCCTCCTTTTCAGCCTCAAAACCACCCCTCCTACTTTTTGTTTCTATGAATTTTGCTCTAGTACCTCATATATAGCTGTATACAGTATTTATCTTTTTATTATTGGTATATTTCACTTAGCACAACGTCTTCAAGGTTCCATCCATTTGTCAAAATTTTCTCCCCTTTAAGGCTAAATAATATTCCATTGGATTTATATATAACATCATGTGTTTATTATTAATCCATTTAATGTACCACTGGGTTGCCGACCATCTTTTTGTTATTGTGAATAATGCTACTATGAACTGGGGTGCACAATATCTCGCTTGAGTCCCCCTGCCTTCACTCTTCATTGGGAATATATATTGACCCTGCGACATTCTGTCTATTATCTTTCTCTGTTTTTTGTTTTTGGTTAAGAAGATCTCCTCTGTTGCCCAGGCTCGGAGTAAGTCGGGCATCATCATAGCTCACTGTAACCTCGAACTCCTAGGCTGCAAGTGATCTTCTGACTCAGCCTCCACTGAGTAGCTTAGGAACTACCAGTAGATGGCACCATGCCCTGCTAATTGATTTTTATTACTTCTTGGTAGTGACCAGGGTCCTCACCTATGTTGCCCAGACTCTCCTCTAATTCTGGCCTCAAGTGATCTTTCAACTCTGTCAAAAGGCACTTGGACCCAGGGTGAGGACTATTCCTTCGCCCACGGACGCAGTTTTTGGCGGACTCAGGGCATCCAAACTGCCCACTGAATGATCGCCTGAGAGTATTTGGCCGTACTGTTTGTTCCATCAGCATATGATAGTTAGCAGTGCTGTTCACCATAGTCCTGCAAACTACCATTAATGTTCACTAAATTAATCCCCAAGGGGCTCCCAGAGCAGTCCACGGGTCCGAGGGAGGAATTTACATTACCCATCCACACCTGGCATCTGGAAGAGACTAAAGAATAAGGTATAAACACACTAGCTCCTGCAGGTGGTAATTGCTAGAAGGGCACCGTTTGGCACATCCACACTGTTTTACGAGCCCTTCCTTCATAACAGGAACTGAGCTTTGGGGCTGACTGCTTCCATGACCCAAAGTATAATGGCAGCTGGGTATGAGGGGTCACACAGGCTCCAGGCCCTATGAGATCTTCTATTTCTAAATGTGCCCCAGTAAATGTAGGCAGGTATTTTGTTTTTTTAATGGTGTATAAGCACAGGCCAAGAGGGGCAAATATGTCCTGCACTTGAAGCCCCGCGAGCAACTATGCCATCAAGAGTGGTCCACAGACTCCAGAAGGCATGAAAAAGTTGCTGTGAATGAGGTTTTTTGAAAGCACTAATAGGGAGTGATGGTCAATTTTAATTTATAAGCAAAAAAGATACTGGACTTATACGTACTTAGGGAGTGGTGTCAGATGAATCTCCTTGAAAGAGGATGTCATTCATGTAATATCAGACCTTTGTTCCTGGAGAAAGATAGATGCCATCAGGGTCTTATCTCAAAGATTGCAGGTGGATAAAAAGCTATTGTGGGGCTGGCGCAGTGGCTCACGCCTGTAATCCCAGCACTTCTTGGGAGGGCCAAGGCGGGTGGATCATCTGAGGTCAGGAGTTCGAGACCAGCCTGGCCAACATGGTGAACCACCCCATCTCTACTAAAAATACAAAAATTAGCTGGGTGTTTTGGCAACAACCTGTAATCCCAGCTTACTCGGAGGCGCTGAGACATGAGAATCGCTTGAACCCGAGAAGAGGAGGTTGCAGTGAGCTGAGATCACACCATTGCACTCCAGCCTGGGCGACAGAGCAAGGACTCTGTCCTCAAAATGGTGGGTTTTGGCTGGCTTCTTCACTGCATCCTGTTTATCATCAGGGGCTTTTTGACCTGTGTTTTGTGCCAACCTCCTACGTATCTCGTCCTGTGACTAAAAATGCCTAACCTCCTGGGAATGCCCCTATTTAAGATGGAGCTGCTGTGGTTCAAATGCCTCTGACAATTGTAACTGTATTTTAACTGTAACTAATTACCATAGGTTAGAAAGGGTAGCAAGGAGGTAAGATAACGTGGGGATGGTTAATGGGGTCAGGGGTCATGTTTTAAAAACTATCACGCAGTTATTCCCTTAAAGTATATACTCTATGAAATATAACAATTGTTGCTTACAAATATTTATTAATCCATATACTCTTTTACAAATGTATACCTTAGCTCATTATGTTTTCTTTGCTAGAATGTCTTTTCTATTCTGATTCACCTGATTAGTAGAGGACGAGGACCACATCTTCTTCTTCCTTATATATGCAATAAAATTTAGTAAAAGGCAAAAATCAGTCATGACTTTAAATTTCTAGGATGGTTGAGTATTTAGGACTCTGTTCACATTTCTGAGGTATTTTTTTTTTTTTTTTGAGACGGAGTCTTGCTCTGTCGCCCAGGCTGGGGCGCAATGGTGTGATCTCAGCTCACTGCAACCTCCTCTTCTCGGGTTCAAGCGATTCTCATGTCTCAGCCTCCGAGTAGCTGGGATTACAGGTGTGTGCCAAAACACCCAGCTAATTTTTGTATTTTTAGTAGAGATGGGGTTTCACCATGTTGGCCAGGCTGGTCTCGAACTCCTGACCTCAGATGATCCACCCGCCTTGGCCTCCCAAAGTGCTGGGATTACAGGCGTGAGCCACTGCGCCCAGCCCACAATAGCTTTTTTATCACCTGCAATCTTTGGAGATAAGACCCTGATGGCATCTATCTTTCTCCAGGAACAAAGGTCTGATATTACATGAATGACATCCTCTTTCAAGGAGATTCATCTGACACACTCCCTAAGTACGTATAAGTCCAGTATCTTTTTTGCTTATAAATTAAAATTGACCATCACTCCTATTAGTGCTTTCAAAAAACCTCATTCACAGCAACTTTTTCATGCCTTCTGGAGTCTGTGGACCACTCTTGATGGCCATTAGTTGCTCCGGGGCTTCTAATGCAACATATTGCCCCTCTTGGCCTTGTGCTATACACCATTAAAAAAACAA